ATTTACTGATGGAGGACGAACTACAGAAAATCTACTACGATCTCGAAAACGGCGCAAGTTTTTCGGGTGTGGATGCCCTTTATCGTGCTTTAAAACAAAAAGGGTTCAAGAAAGTAACCCATAAACAAATCGAAGATTGGCTCCAAAAACAAGAAACCTATTCCGTTCATAAGCCCGTACGCCACAGATTTCCAGGAAACAGAGTGATTGTCAGCGGAAAAGATGATAAATTCCAAGCCGACTTGGTAGATTTGACCTCTTTGAGTCGATTCAACAAAGGATACAAGTATTGGTTGACCTGCATCKATGTTTTGAGTAAATACGGTTGGGCCATTCCTTTAAAGACAAAGACTGGACAAGAGATAACAGACGCTTTTGCCAAAATCTTGAAATCTGGAAGAAAACCGAAGAAGTTGCAAACGGATAAAGGAACTGAATTTTTAAACCAGATTTTTCAGAATTATTTGAAAAAACAAGGCATCCATTTCTTCACTACTCATTCAGAGACGAAATGTGGGGCGGTAGAACGTTTTAATCGTACAATAAAGACAAAACTTTACAAGTATTTCACCTACAAGAACACACATCAGTACCTCGACATCCTTCCAGATCTACTCAAATCGTACAACCGAAGTTTTCATCGAAGTATCCGAATGAAACCCATCGAAGTCACGAAAAAGAATGAAAATGCGGTATGGCATACCTTGTATGGAACATCAATAGCCGCTCCCGTGCGTTTTCGATTTCAAGTCGGGGATCAAGTGAGAATCAGTAAAGCTAAGAAAATATTTGACAAAGGATATAAAGCCAATTGGAGTATCGAAATATTTACTGTAACAGAGCGAATTCCGAGAAATCCACCTGTCTATCGTCTGAAGGATCAACAGGGAGAAAGGATTGAAGGAGTATTTTATGAACCAGAACTTCAGAAAATAGAAAAAGAAGATGATGTGTATCAGATAGAAAAGGTCTTGAAGCGACGTAAACTCAAGGGTGGAGTCGCTGAGGTGTTTGTGAAATGGAGAGGGTATCCAGATAAGTTCAATTCCTGGATCCCAGCAAACCAAGTTCAAAAATTGTAATCCCTTTGAATTAACCAATAAATATTGTTTAAACTCTCAATTGTCTTGTTTCTATATAATGCTAGAGCAATACTTGCGCGCCTTCATATCACGCCAGTCGTCGTTATGGATAACACTCAGTTTTACCTCTGGCTCCCCTCCAATAGCAGCATGGATGTTTTCCCTTCCAATACCTTATCGGAATTTAGAGTTCGCCTACCGCAAACCATTAACCTCACTGATGAATGGGAGGTGGCTTTAACCGAAATTCATTACCCCCCTAGCTGGAATAATGTGCATGAACATTTTGAAATCGGTTTTATATCAAACAAGGAGATGATATCAAAGTCTATATTGTCCGCCAAGGTCATTACTCTTCAGTGCAGAACATTGTGGACGCCATGAACAATCTAATCRACAACACAGGGCATGAAGATAAAGTGAGGTTTTCTTACGACACACTAACTCGAAAAATAACGATTCATCTACTAGATAACCGTTCAATCTTTTTCAGCGATATTGGAACTACGCTCGGATTCACAAAAGAAAAATTGATCTCCGAGACTACCACCGCCTCACGAGAAGTGGACTTGGGCTTTCATAACCTCTATGTCTACATATACTGTGATACCGTTCAATCTCAAGTCGTTGGGGACTCCCATGTACCCTTACTGAGAATCGTCCCTGTAGAGGGAAGAGATGGGGAACGTGTGAGCAAGATATTTCTGAACCCGCAGTATCTACCGGTCAGCAGAAAACAATTCGAAAGTATCGAGGTCAATATTAAGCGCGACACAGGTGAAAAAGTCTCATTTGAAACTGGAAGAGTGTTGTTAACACTTCATCTCCGCAGAGCCTCACCGTACTTTCATTAAAGAGTAAAGATGCCTCATCCACGTTCGGAACATTACAAGAATTACTACCTTGAACAAGCTCAGCAGAAAGGAGGTAATCTCCCTGCCTTTCGCGGTGCTACGGTYCAACAGGGTTATGGATTAGGGTCTATCCTAAGAGGTCTTTATCGATGGGCAGTTCCCCATTTATCTTCCGGTATGAAAGCTGTAGGCCGTGAAGCCTTGAGAGGAGGTCTGAATGTAGCTCAAGATGTCTTAGAAGGTCAAGATTTGGAGGATTCTACAATGAAGAGAGTCAACGAAGCCGGAAAGAGATTAACGAATACCCAGAATGCTTCAGGAGCGCAAACAGGTGCCGGTCAAAAAGGTAGAAAAAGAAAGACCTCAGCTAAAAACGCCAGTTCACCTCCAGCCAAGAAGCAGAGAACATCAAAAGCGAAAAAAACGCCGTACTACTTCTTCCAATAATAATGGCTCACCCAACTCGATCTCAGCATTGCAGTAAATCGTAGTTGGATTTATTTCTGGCTCCGAGTGTGCAGACTAACATTGAACGAGGACAGTGGATTGAATATTTTCCTATCTCAAACATTACCGATTCTGGTCCTATCGAATTTAACGTCTCAGGCAGTGGAGATGAGTTTACCGACTTGAGGCAAGCTTGGGTGTATAACAAAGTAAAGATTACCAAAGCTAATGGAGCCGATCTAGCCGACGACGATAAAGTGGGACCCGTCAATCTCTTCCAACAGGCCATGTTCAGTCAAGTGGATTTGACTATCAACGATAAAATGATATCAACGTCTACCAACACCAACCCTTATCGAGCTATGATCACCACCCTCATGACTTATGGATCTGATGCTAAGACCTCTCAACTTGGAGCAGAACTCTTTATAAAAGATACGCCAGGGAAAATGGATGCTGTGGATCCTTTAGCTCTAGCTGCTAATCGAAATCATGGTTTACATGCCCGATACAACCACATCAAGGGGAGTTCTCCCTTTGAACTCATGGGACCTTTACATCTAGATCTGTTTTGTCAAGACCGGTTACTGCTCGACGGTGTGACGCTACGTATCAGACTCAATAGAAGCAAAAACAGTTTTTGTCTCGTCTCTTCAGAAGCGGATGCCAATTATAAGCTGGTTATCTTACAGTCCACGTTGTATATCCGTAAAGTAAAGATTTACGACGATCCTTTCCTGGGTATTGCTACTGCTTTAGAACAGGCACCTGCCCTCTACGCCATTCGAAGAGTTGAATGCAAAGCCATGTCCATTTCTACGGGTCAAATGTCTTTCTCCCCCGACGATGTCTTCTTAGGATCTATTCCTAAACGGATCATTCTGGGCTTGGTAGAAAACACAGCCTTTAACGGTTCATTCAACAGAAACCCTTTCAATTTCCAACACTTCAAAGCAACTCAAGTTGGAGTCTACGTCAATGGTGAAAGTTACCCCATGAAGGCATTGCAACTCAATTTTGATCAAAACTTGTACCCAGGATACATGAGCTTGTTTTTTGGTACGGGAAGTCTATTTCATAACCAAGGCAATCAGATCAATCGCGAGGATTACCCCAACGGATACACACTGTTCRCCTTTGATTTGAGCCCCGATCTTTCCGCTGGACCTCACATTTCCCCTATAAAGCAAGGCAACCTTCGCATCGGCATTCAGTTTGCAGAACCCCTGCCTGTGACAGTCAACTGCATCATCTACGCCGAGTTTGATTCTTTAATTGAGATTGATGAGAATCGAAACGTGACTTTTAACTGGTCGAGTTAAACATGAACACGAGACAGATTGCGGTAGTATTGAAAAGGGATCCCATCACCAACCCTATCTTTCAAGGAGTTTTCCCGTCAGACCAACTGCCGAACAAGATCAAGCATTACCCAGCAGCTTTTGTAGCCAACGTCGACCCTATAGGACGTCCCGGTTCTCATTGGTGTGCGTTTTATTTCACTCAAGATAAAGAGGGAGAATTTTTTGATTCCTATGGATTGAAGCCTCAAGAGTACAGTCAACATTTTCTCGAGTTTCTAGAAAGGAATAGTCATCATTGGACTTATAATCACCAAGACCTTCAAAGTCTAAATTCTAATGTGCGTGGACATTATTGCTTGTATTATGTAATTAATCGTTGTCGTAACGTATCCATGAAAACTATAGTAAACCGCTTTGGTAAAAATACAAGGAAAAACGATCGTTTAGTGTATTATTTTATCACTAAGTATTTTGGATACTTATACAAATATCTTAGGAAAAGGCTTGTCAAACATCAAAGTTCCAGACAAAAATCAATAAACACCATGTAACGATCAAACTAGTATTTTATTTGTTCACACTACAGCTACACACAGTTATGGAGCAAAATTAAGCCATCGTTGACGCATTTGTTTCTTAGGGTTACGCGTTGCACTTCGTATAGGACCTTTTACGGTTTTTCTTCCCGTCAGGGGTGGCGTAGGGGTAATCCATTGGTCATCATGTTCTGGTAAAGGGTTGGGTCTTGCTTTAAACTCTCTGAGAGCGGTTCTTCTCCTTTCATTTCTGACCAGATCTTCTGGAGCATTCATCTTGGCAAATYCTTTAGCAAACGTTTCCCATTCAAGAGGGTCAAACCCTTTGCGCGCTCGTAAAAAATCCCCCACTAGATCTCCAATGTGTGAACCAGACAAGGGTTTATCTTCGTAAATCAACTGGCCACTACGATCCCACTTCACGATGTTAGGATGTTCACGAATCTTGCCGATTAAAAGTTTCCCCCTTCCTTTCAGGGTCTTTGGTAAACCCCTTAAAATATCTCGTTCGATCTTATCTTCTTCTTCCTGCTCTTGTGGCTCTGGGGAGGGTTTCTCTTGTTCTTTCTTTTCACTTGGAATCGGAGAATCCATTTTCACCTTCAAGGGATGATCTTTCCGCTAATAGTAATACGTCAAGTAATTTTGTAAATTCTGAACATATTCCCGTACTTTTTCTTCATCAGTTAATTCTTTGCTTTTCAAGACATCTTGAATATCAATGATCCAAATCCTTGAGTCTGGAAGTCAAAGGCGTGGTGTTGACTTTTTGTCTTTGTTGCAATCTCTCCAAGGTCTGTTCAGGAACAAGCACCATCTTCCTGGTATGATTCATTTTACAAAAATTGTTCCAAGACAGCTAAGGCAGGTGGGAGTAATACAGATAGAAAATTACCTCCTTTCTGGACCAAAACCTTTCGTTTCTCTGGTAACGCTAATTCTTTATCCACTAATTTCAGCAAAGGAGTTTTAAACTCGATCAATTTAGTTTTTTCCTTGGGAGTGATAGGTACTGTAGACCTTAACACGTTGTGTACACACTCGCAAAGAGTCTGGATTAATGAATCGTTGGCTTCTTTCAGGATAGCTTTTACTTGGTTAGGTTTACTAGTAGACAACACCTTCAAGTGATGGTAATTGTTTCTCGCACGGCGACTCATGGTCAACTGATTAAAGTTCCTTGTGTGCTGATCTTTTTAACCCTTCTTGACGTAAGCATATTGAGTCTCGTTTGGAAAGATACTGGTTCTCAATCGAAAATCTTCTAGGGTCTGGGGTTTTAGATCACAGAATAAGTACCCATGAGGCCTTGCAGTGGCATCATTGAAAGCTTCTTGCATGTATTTGACGTGACCTGGATGCATTTGTTTGGCTAGATGATTGATTTGACTGCTATCTCTGGGCGATTTAAACAGAACCATGTAGTGAGCATTCAAGCTGATGTTTCTCAATTCTTTTCCTTGATGGAATATATTTTGTAAGATAAAGATGCAGGACAAATTCTTGTGATGACAACCTTTGGTGAAAATGTTCGTCAAACGTTTATCATTACTGACTTTGTTCATCAAATCATCAATGATGACTAAATTACGAACAGAAGGAACGATTTGGGATTCCAAGTCGTGSGGTAATCCTTCAATAAAATTTATATTGGGGATAGTTTGCATCATTTCTTCATAAGCAGGTTGATCCATTCCATAACACCATAAGATATTTTGTGGAGGACCATCAATCATCATTTCAGCATTTTCCAACAACCGTTTCACAAACTGTGTTTTTTCACAACATGTCGGACCGGCTACAAGAGCACCAAATGGATGTACAAGCCTTGGATCCATCTCGGTGAATGAAAATTCAAGTCTATAATCGTCTATTTTATCTTTTTCGAGGGAATAAGCCAATTCTCCTGAAACTTCGGTGTATTGTAGTCTCGAACAACTTTACTTGTTTGCAATTTCGCTTCTTGTAAGTGCGGTTTTCTTTCCTCCCTTGATAAATTATGAACTTGAGCCAAATGATTGGATAATTTCACCAAATACTTCGATCCACAGTTACTTATCGGACAATCCTTACAATATCGCTTGGACATGTTCACTCCACGAAAGTTTAGGCACAACTAAAATTTTATCACAATTGCACACAAATTTAACTTAAAATCGGGGACAAAAGGTGACAATAGGTGACAAAAGGGACATTGAGAGAGAGACGTGTTCACTACCAAATATATTTATTAAAAATCTTTGTTCATTACTATTTACAATACTTTAATTAAAGAAACATCCTATAAGAATTACTTATCAAAATATTTAGAGATTTATTTACAAAATTCAGAGCTTATCTGTAAGACTCATGGAATTAAAAATGTCCTATAACATCAAATTATAAAATGTTGGGATTATTTTATTTGTTTTCAAACATTTTTGACTTAAAAACCAGGGACAAAAGGTGACAAAAGGTGACAGAAGGGACTTTCAAAGAGACGCGTTCACCTATTCATATATTTGTCTTCCATTATCATCCTAATTTAAAATGTCTAGTTACTATTTACGAATTAAAGAAAATCTAATTCTCAAAAATATTTTATATACATTATATTTATTTTAAACTAAATATTTAAAGGAAGGGTGGTGACTCCATCCTCCAATACTTTTCTCTTAGGGTAGAAATAGGAAAAACCATCCCGGGCTTGTGTATAAGTATGCATTCTGTTATTCACTACTCTGAAACCCTTGTTGATACCCGAACTACTTCGCTGGGTTAATAATACATTCAAATACTTATCCTTATTAATGTCATTCGTCTTCTTATTAATACCCTTACAACTAAACTTACCATGGGATCCAAAACAATAATAGGTTTTAGAACATAACCCAATAATTCCCTCCCCTTCAAATTCTGCCTTAAATAACCCCGGCGTTCTTTTATCATAAGCCCGGTGTTCCGGCGTATCAGTACGCGGAAACCAGTTAGCTTTGTCGGATTCGAATTCCGCTCTCAACTCGGGTTTGATTAAACTTTCCACACTTTCCCCAGAAACAGCAATGTAGGCTGAATCCGTATCCATCTCACAATACTGGAAATCAGACCTATCTACATACTTATCTAAAAAATCATAATAAAATTCTAACATTCTTAGCTTCGCATATTGGTAAACAAAAAAGCCGATTTGCATAGGCAAATTCAGACTGATCCTCTTCTTCGCAGATTGCACTTCATACGTATCCTCGTCTATGGGATCCAGCTGACGAAAAAACTTGGTGTTAATGTGCCGTGAAACAACTCCATCATCACAGAACTTCACTTCTCGATGCTTCATCTGGTTCGTGATGGTTTTTCCGTAGCTGCTATTTCCAACCTTACAAAAGAGAGTAAAAACCAAAATTAATCATCCGTAAGATGCAAATTTGTAAAGTATCAACAACTTACCAGTTTCATGGTATCTGCGATAATGGCTTTACTGGGGTCAACATCCCCAGCTCTTCTCGCATCAGACACTGCATTCCCAAATGGCTTGAAGCAAGGATTAGAAGTGAACTCTACCACTTGATAGATCTTGGACACTTCTAACCCGTGCTCCAAGTACCATTTCAAGGATCGTCTCTCCCTTCATACTGCCAATAAGACTTCGTCTTGGCTGTGGTATGATTTCGTTCTCCTCAGCAAACTACTTCATGTGGTCTCCAATATCTTCTCGGGAAATCTCGGTATTCTTGAAGATGGGGCACATCTCTCCAAACTTCTCCTTCAAAGACTCCGGAACTCTGATATCGAATTCCACCACTCCAAATAAAGTTCCACTTACAACAGATTCTAAAATCTGTTGTTCATTGAGGGCCCAACAATGGTCCAGGGGACGTTTTAATTCAGAGTACAAGAATCTTCGAAGGAGAGGATTCGTCTTCTTCATTCGCCGCCACTCGCACTCCCACAGTTCCACCACAGTATAGCCTTCACTCTCGATGTATTCGGTGTTGGCGCGCGTCTCTTCCCTCAGCTCAACCATGGACTTGTTGCGGATGGTGTTCACGGTCTTCCCCTTGTTTAAATGGCAGTTATGACCATGCCAGAAACAGCCTAATAAGAATAAAGAAATAATATGTGTTATAAGACAGGCAGCCCAAAGTTCTAGAAAACATAAAACCACAGGAAACCCAATTTTAAGAAAGAATAAAAAACCTACCATGAAATTGAAAGACCGTTTGACTTTCACTGTGGAACCCATCAACAGGAAGATGCCGAGCCCCAACTCTTTTCTCGGTGTTGTTGAGTTGATGGCGAATCTTGATCCCTCGTTGATGAGCTTCCCAAGCGATCCACTCATCTGCCATTCGTCTAGAATTCTAGGGTTTGAAGTGGGTTTCAGCACGTCTCCGTGTATAAGACCCTGTGGGCATATCCTGCATGATAGCCCACAAGTACATAGCATTGGCGTCATAACCAAGAACTTTCTGACAGGTTTTGGGTTCGATTCCCTTAGCTAAC